TTTACAATTGATAAAAGTTCTTATATAAATATCTGATTGTGGGAAATAAAAGTTTAGAAACTTCTTGTAGTATTTGTGTAATAAATTGTTCCGTGTCAACTTACTTGACGTTTATATAAACGTTTTTATAATTGATAACGATAGAAAATTCATGTATTAAAAATTTAAAAGTTTACCGTTGCTACACATATATATATATCGTTATATAAAAAGAGTTTAAATAAAATATCACTCGGAGAAGTTAACTCGCGCAATTTAATAAGCCAAATGCGATTTTTCTTGACATTTTTTTCCTTAAAGACGTCGAAGCTCTTACGAAACTTTCCCTTTGGATTTCCCGTCGGTACTTCAATCACAGACTGAATGACACTTTCAACGGAAATGGCGGACCAAGTTTCGTTCTTCTATGTACAAATTCTTCTCTTTCACACGCAGTGCGTTTATGTCCTCGAACATCCTGATCCGGAAGGGTAAACTTTGTTCCTCATATGCCACATCTGACCCATGTCTGATGTCCCGGAGACGCGGGTGTGCTCGTCGATTACTACTCTGTCCGAACTGTAAGTCCGACGTTTCAGGGTTCTCATACGTTCTGTCAGATCACTCGTCCACCTAAAGGCCGAATTTCCTGGGCTTCTTGCTACTTACAGGAACTAAATCCGCTAAGACCGCGCCTGAAACGAGGAGCCCGACATTTCGATAAGAAGCATTTGCGACGAGTTAGAGCATTAGATTTTTTCTCAAGCTGCTTTTTGGCTTTTATCTGGATAAGATTTTGAAAGAGTCGCTAACGGACATTGTATCGTGACGTGTTGTAACACACTGTACGACAGGAGTAGGATTGTACTCGGAGGCATAGGTTTTTGGAAAATGTTGTTTCGTTACGTGCGCGTCGCAGCGAGAAATAAATTAAAACACGATGCGCGATGCGAGAAACTTGTTCGTATAATGGTTGCGTAATGTAATCCGCAACGTTTAAATGCTGTAAAGTTACATCTTCGAGTGATAGGCTGCGTTGTATCGTGAAACGAGGGTGTGGCGTAGCGGAAGTAATAAAATATGCAAATTAGATAGGTATATTTGATGATCCCCGTGTCTTCTGGGAAGACCGGGATCTATCGGCGTCGCGCAACTTTCCGCACACTTGAACCAAGTTGGCGCGCTCGGGCGTACGAAGATGTACAAGGCGAGTCCGGCGGTATTAATACTGAATTGCGACGCGGCACCATTCGGCTCATATTAAATGGAGCATTGTGGGCGTTTCGAGGAATCGATCGTCCACAAAGTGGCAATCAGACAGAGAGTGAGACTCGATCACGTGATTTCCCGTGGGTGCCGTCACCGACAAATGACCCAGCTGTTGCAACGCGGATGCCGCTCCACCTTCGTGGATCATGCTACGCTTACTTCGACGCTATGGAACATTGTGATAAACCTATAGATATTTTTCACGAGCCAAATGTCGCGACTCCATGATCGAATACAATGCCGTATGAGAAGATAAACGTGTGTAATATTCCTGGAATAAGAACATCTATTTCTAGACGCGGTTCGATGTTACATATTCGAAATATATTTTGATGCTTTCCTCTAAAATGTAATAAAGTCTGATTGTCTGATTAAGATTTCTCGAGAGAAACTCATAAAACTCGCTATTTTCATTCGGCAAACGCGGTTTATCAAAGAAAATTTAAACGGAAATATTGTATATGATAAGCGGAAGCCTCGCGGTGAAGCAGGATAGAAGGAAAATACGATAATGGATACTAACTGTTAATTAATAATAAAGTCAAAGCATTTTCCGCTAATCAACCATTTGCAAGTTCGCCCCGAGCGTGCTTCCTCGCGGAAACCCGATATTTACCAACTTAAGTATCGCATTATAAGCCCCGAGAGCGGTATCGACGGATAGTTCCGCGGGCATTAAATCCAAGATACCTCCGTCGGATCCCCGCGCCGCTTTTCTCCGAAGCGCGGCGCATTCAAAGTGAATTAATACAACTTCGGGCTTGCGGATAAAGTAGTCAGATTCTGTCGCGATGCGGGATCCGCCGTTGCGATGTGCTCGCATTATAGACTGCACGGCGCGATGCACGATTCACGTGCGACGACCGCGCGCATAAATACAGGCACGTTCGTCGTTTACCTAAGCATCTGCGAACGTACAGCACATCTGGGATATTACGCTCATTCCTTTCTGCCCTGCTCGTCGCACCAGACTGCGGTCGCGGTAACGCCAAAAGATATTGCATAACACCGGCGTATCGACAGGCGGCCTGGACCGCCGCCGCGCGCCGGCGAGATTTATTTTTCAATGTCCCGCAACGGGGAACGATTCTCCGGATGGAAAATACACGCGGACACAAATACAACTCGCGGCCGTTTCTTGTATATATGTATATACCATAGGCTCGTTCGCGAAGACACAAGTGCGGGGATGTTTCGGGTCTTGGATTTCTCGAGACTCGCGCTCGAGCGGCGCGAGAATGGATTTCGTTTTCACCGTGCGATCGATACCTTACATTAAATTTCCTTGAGTGTTGCACGACGGAGTACGCGTTCCGCGATTCAGGATGGATGAAGGACGACGTTTCTCACCCATCGACCATCCTTCATTCACGGCAAATGCGCGCCACGGCTGTCTGTTTTCCCGAGAACAAGTTGCGTAGCGGAAATTCAGCTGTTCCATATTGTTCGCGGATGCGGGACTCTTGGCTGGCGTGTCTGGAGCTTCTTATCCGTTTGTCAAATTGGGACCTGCGAGCTTCCGCGTTTTGTCGCATTAATAACACAGTGAAATTTGACAGACGCGTTGCGTCGACATCGCGCGATTAATTAACAATTAATTATACATTTGACGCTTAAATTTTTGACGGCACACTTTTGACGGCCGTCAATCGCAGTGTGATGAAATCTCCTTAAAAAAAAAATGGTCGCTGTTGACGTTGTTTTAAAGCGTTCGTGCTTTATGACGTATTCCACGGAAACGAGATTAAATTTAATGGCGTTCCTTAAAAATACATAGACGCGGCACAGACGGCGCGCGTTATACTGTGAAAGCTGTTGAAAGTTTCGCAGAAGACTCGCAGAAAGTTTTAATTTACTTTCAAGCCTTGGTTTATGCAGCTCGTTGTCAAATACATGTGTGCCGCGCGTAAACGGAGCTCGCTGCTTCTCTCTTTCTCCTTCTCGCCTTGAATTCTCGAAGAAACTCGTCGACGTCGATGACGAGCGTGACGACGTCGCCGACGAATTCCCCTCTCCGAGTCTCTTCCTCCAGCTGAAACTCGTCGCAGTGTAAAAAAAACGCTCTATCCCTCTCGACAGCGTAATCGGAAGATTGTTTGTGGAACGTCGCGGCTGATACAACCTCTGACGATTTATTTTGACAGATCGCATGTCCGTTCCCATCGTATGAATGCTACTTGGCTCTTGTTAATTCGGGGCTTGTTTCATGTCGTGTGTAACTGCTGTTTACAAAAAAATTCGATAAATTAAAATTTTAATCTCTCGGAAATTTATTTTAAAAACGTTAATTAAAATATATCGTTATTTGAAACTGCATTTTTCATACAGTGTGCATTTTTGTCGAGTGTGAGTGTATAATAATGTTAATAAATGTAAAATATGCGCTTATATATAAAAACATCTCATTTGCAATAAAATATCACTTGATTTTTTTTCAAATAATAGCCAATTATAAATGTTATATATTTTCTGCGCGACTTTTTCTACTTTTACGCATGCTGCGCTTTCCGAATTTTTTATTTTACATTGGTAATCGAAAAGGTAATTTAGAGAAATAGTAATAGCTATTTAAATCACCAAATAAACTGTGATCTTTGTAGCTATTCCGGTATTGTCGCTTGAATATTGCGGACCGCGCTTTTATGCGGTTTTTACGTAACGACGTACTTTTGTATTTACAAACGGGCAACAGCCGTAATCAACTTTCTGCCTTCGGGCAATCGTCGGATGCGTAGAATTCGCGAAACGTTGTATTATCTCGCAAATATGATAAACGACCGGTTCACCGTAGCATGATAATATTTAATTGAATCCTTGCTGTTGCGGGCCGCGCTTTGTTTAAATTTTAACGACCCGCACCGCAAGTGACCGCACGTGTCATCCGTAATTAATTTTTTACCTTTTAGCAATTGCAATGCGCGCAATTCGCGAATCGTTGTAGAGAATTTTAAATATTATATTATCTCGTGTGCGCCCGCGCGCCGCTTGTACGCGCGGTGCATTGTAGCGGAATAATATTTAATTGAATTTTCGACGTAGCGGTACAGGAGCTGTCTAAATTTTAACGGCCAGCGCCACAAATAGCCGCACGTGTCATCCACGTAGATCATTGTCGACGAAGACAATGATATATAAACGGCGGCGGGGTGCAAAAGGGGTCAATGGAATTCGCCTCGTCTCGATCAGGATCGAGATCGCTAAAGTGCCAGCTGCAACGGCCCCGAGTCAGATTTAATCTCGCTTCGTGTATTGACTTGACAATGGCTCATTGTCAATTGACAATCGCGATCGACGCTCGCGCGCTCTCGAGGCTCAAATGGTCAAATCGAATTACTCTTTGTACTGTTACGGCACGATCGGCGTTTAAAGGGTGACCAGATACGGGAAATGCTTATATCTCTTGTTACATAATCGCATGCTTGTCGATACTGTCCCGGCTGAGGTTATTACGATGCTATGCCGGAAATGTCAGTGAATATTATGCAAGTGATGGAAATTACGATACCAACGATACATATTACACGTCATCTCAAATTATTGAAGAGGAATTATTTTGGAAATACATATTGTGTGTCTGATTTTTGCGATTAATTATTACAATTAATGATATTGTAACAACATGGTTGAATTTGAAAAATTTGCAATATAATTTTATGAAGATTTATTGGATTTTCTACAAACAAATGTTTTATTTAACGCGGCTAGGCGTTTTTTTTATCGAAAGGTATAATACATAAAAATATAATTTTTAGAGACATACGAGAGAGGAGAGGAATCTATCCTTCTTCATCCTGCGCCACCTGACTTCGCTACCTGCGGTGTGCGTCCTGACAGGGGGTTCCCGAAAGTAAGTTGTAACTCGTAAATCTCGACGTCGACTAACAAATGTCTTCGGCCCGTTGCACGTTAAGCGTTCCGGGACGGCTTTTACGAGGATACACGACGCGTAACACGTATGACTATACATGAGCGCTCTCGCATCGTGCAGCATCCCTAATTTGAACAACGCCGCACCGAAAGATCCCATTAGTAACAATTGATTTTTTGATTTGGACGACATAACGATTCGCGTAACTTGGTGGATTTATAGTTCCGTATTATATATCGTGTACACACATGTAATCGCGTGTAACTGTATATCTCCGATAAATATTACATTCGCATACAAATCTGGACTTTCTCCGGGGCAACATTGGAAACGCGCTTTCAATTCGGAATGTAATTAATATAACAGCCGCGTGATTTATCGGGGCGCACAATGCCGGCGCCCCGGTGTGTCATATAAATATATTTATATCCATTATATCGACGTATTTCGGTGGCGGACGCATCTGTATTCCGGCGGCGCGCTGCAAAAATACGGCCCTAAAATTGTTAATGGACTTTCCGTGTTTACAGTGCACGATGCCGGTTCCGATTGCGTGTATCGGGAGGTGTTTCAGCGCGCGGACTTTTTCGTACCGCGCTGCGACGCACGATAGGAATATACATTTCCTTCGAGGTCGATCGCGGTCATCTTTGCGAACGGCTACAGCGAGCGGCACTGTTATAACGGATAGCCAATACGAGAATCTCCCTCGCCGTTTTTGCCCCGCTGTCGGGCCGAAAATATATAATACGCGATATTTTAATCGATACTCGTGTTTCTTTAATGACCCTCGTAACTCAAAGCGGTCGGCGGCCTCGCCGTTTTCGGAGCCCGCGACTAATCTCGTGTTGCCTCCCTCCGATTGAATTTAAAAAATGCCCGAGTTTGCCCCGCATATCTTGCGCACGGTTGATGTAACGATAACGCGAGAAGGCCGTAAAGCGACGTAAAGGAGAGCGTATAATCGAGTATAAATAACAGTAATTACGACCGCGCAAAAATAATGTTGGCGCATTTGTCGGCACGAAGCATTCGCAGGAGTATCAATAATTTTCAATTAATATTTTGCCCGGTACGGTGCGTCACGTTTGCTTTAACGCGTATTTATGTTTCGCCGGGACGGCCGTGGTAGCGTAAATGAACGTAAAATAATATCGCGTTATTCGTAAAAAAAACAGCCGGTTTTCATCTGCCTTCCGGATACCGTGCCTCGGCATCAGGTATCGGCGAGCTCCAGGAATATCCGATATCCACTGGGGCTAAAAAATTCCGATACTTTCGCGAGAAGTATGAGGTAGAAGTTTGGCTTTATATCAGTTTAATCGGAAGAGATAATTATAAAGCCGTACTAATGTTATAAGCGGGTGCAGCCGGTCGTCCGCGAACAGCGCGGATACGTTGCCGCGCTTTCATTACGCGTATAATTATTTCCGCTTTATATTCGGTGATACCTGACATCTCTTTTAATCGATACGACCGACCTTTCGACGCCGCATATTCGCGCTTCAAGAACACGTGTTTGAGAGAGCTCATTTGCGAATGATAACGTAAAATTGTGTCTTGTTCGTGCACCCGCGGGATGAATTTTTTGAAAGGCGTATATTATAAATGAATTGCATGTGTATTAATAATATTTGATTCTCGTTGCGGAATGACTATCAAACATTTCATTTGAGTAATACGCGAATAGGTATATATTTGTATAATCCTCTTTTGCCGTTAATTCCAAATGGGAAACGTAAAATATAAGCTTGTTTTCCATTCGTTGTGAAGAGCGGGTAACGGAAAATGTGGTCGATGTTGTTATTCAATCAGTTAACATTTTCTGACGGTATCACATCTATTTTGCCATAGCAGTTGCATTATTTATAATTTAGCCATAGTGAGATTTAAGGATTGTCTGCTTGTTGTAGTTGGAATAATTTATCGGACTGCGTCACGCTCGCGCGAATGATTTACGAACCAGTTTGTGAACGGACGCGACTGTCGTTTTTTTTTTTATTTTTTTTTCCCCGGATAACCTCTTCTAGAGAGGTTTAACGGCGACGTTCCTTGTGTCGGCGGTGAGAACAAACTCGCGCTGGTGTTTTCCGGCACCGTGTGTTTTCCGCGCGTTAGAAGGACTCGCGCTGAGGAAGTCGCGCGGCCGCGGAAATTTTCGTTATTCATCGCGCCCTGTCGCGAGTCCGAGGGTGGCGGAGCTACCGGAACTCACCCCTCGACTCATACCGCGCTCATACCGCAGCCGGATATATAACCGACCGGCTCTCTGTCCGTCAAGCGTCCGCAGTGGAGGCCGCAACGCGGTATTGTCGTAAATAATGAGCAAGCTTCGGTATTTGTTTATTCAGGGGGCACTCAACGCGCCGGTCCCTCGCCCCTCCCGCGGCGCCGTCCCGCCGCGGCCGATGGCGAACCGTGCGGTGAAGTAGATCGTTCCCATTATTTACGAGGCCGCAATTAGCCGGGCCGCGAGCATCTATTCTTCGCACCCGAGTAGGCTTAATAATTCAATTAAGTGACGTATAGGTGAGTGGGCGCGACGCGTCCGAAAAGGGACGGCGGCGTGTCAACTAGAAAATTTAATTTGTTGGGAGGAGGGGGGGGGGGCGCAAGCTGCTTGAAATTTCATGGAAAGATCGATTAATCGGATAGAGAAGCGAGCGCGGTCGTATGAAACATTCAGGATGAAAATCGATGGAGCTGTCCGTCTAACGCGACGTCAGACTGAGCTTTTTTATCGGCTGGATGACTCTGTCAGGTCAAATAATACTGGCTCGCGTCGATGGCGACCCTTAGATTGCGCATCGCCGGGCGTTTAAAAAATTCACAGGCAGGATGTGAACAAATGGTGAAAATTGCGCCCGGCGTCGACCATATTCGTATTTCAGTGAAGGGCTATGTAAATGATAGCGAATAACCGGAATATAAATTGGTTAAAATTTCGTTCTGTTTTGCAGCAGTGTTTTGTTTTGACGTATCCAGTTGAGTTAAATGATGTCCTTAAGTGATGGGACATTGCTAGCACATTTGATATTTCTTTTATAACACTTTTTCCCTTTAACCCAACAATTGTTACAATGGTGGGTATTGTGTCACATAATATGTACATGACAAAACATATTTCGCAGAGTACAATAATCACGTCCGTCAGTCACGAAAGAAATAAAATGCTGCATATATTCGAAATTATGAAAACATAATAAAACGCGAGAGGAGGCCGTCGAAAAAATTAAATGCAATAATGAGTTTTAGGATATTAAAATATACGATATTGAAATTAATTTATTTGAAAAAATTACTGGCAGATCACTATATATTGCGAATGAATATTCGAAATGTTAGAAGCGGCTATCAGTTAATAACACAACACTTACATAATTACTTTAATCCTATATGAAAATAACATAAATCGCGAATGCGCGTATAATCCGACGTATTCGTGTTAAATCACGCACGTTGTTTTTATTATCAAGAAATATCGATGTTTGCTAAATCTTTCAGCGGGAGTCATAGATAAAGCGTAGTTTACGGTCGACATAAATTGCGGCTAGTATCAATTTGTTCCGCGTTGGTTGAAATTTTCTGTAACGCGGGGAAATACACCGCGATCGTGCGGGACGGAGAGAGCCGCGCGCGCACAAATAACGATCGCGGCGCGATCGTTCGTCATTGACGGCGTATGCGGCCGGAGGAATTCGCGGAAGATGGAATCACGGCGAGGTGCGCGCGGCGGACAAGTAGAGAAATTCCGCGAAACTTGCGAGGATGAGTCGCCCGCAGGAGTTTCGGGGCCGAAAACTTTCGGTCCTGTCGGGTTCGGTCGTCACGTGACGGCGGAACTTTCGACTGCAACCGGTGCACCGGCAGAATAATCGGTTCCACCACCCGAGAGTCGGCGGGCCGTGTAATCGTAGATATAGGCCGGCCGAGAACGCGAGCGTTTGTTTTAGCGTTGCTCGAGTTTAACGCGGCGGAATTGCGACGCGCGGACGTTATCTTGTCTTTTTTTTCTTTTTTTTTAATTGTCTTAGCGTTCGCGCAGTGCGCAGCTACTGCAAAACCGTAACGAACGGAGCGCATTACGAAGCCTTCCTCGCGCCGGATGTTTTCCAGTATGTCGAGTGGTAACTGCTGTCATAACCCGGTCTCGTAAAACAGTAACTCCATCCACCGGCATTCCGCCGCGCGTCCATGGAAAACGTCACCGCTGGAAATTGTGAACGTTAAGCGAAATGACCAACGAGAGTAAGGGTGGCCCGTTTCGTTTCACCGATTGCTGCGGACGAGACGAGGAACGTAGACTCCCGCGCTCACGCGAGTCGTCATGGATAAATTTTTCAGACGCAGTCTCGGTTTATGTAGGTTCGCTGCGGAACATGTGCGTCGCTTACGTATTTTCAGCGGGGAGCCGCTCGATCATCTTGTTCGGGGAGACGCGCATAGGCCACTGTGGAGAAACATAATTTTACGTAATACCGCGCGGCTCATATAATTCCCGGCTATCCTGCTTAAGCAGGGAGCTTTCTTTCTCGCGCGAGCAATTTACACCTCGTAGAGGCACGGCGCCCCAAGCCCCGCGGCGTTATAAATCCTCGTCATAACTTTACATTTGCGGCGATTTCAATCCCCCGGCGCGGCTTTAGCGCGGCACGTTAATTCGTAATTATTATTAACGATCCGAGGGGACCTCGGTCGCCCCGCCTCTTTCCGACGCTTTCCGATTTTAATCTTACGTGTGCGGTACGCGTTTCCGTGCACGCGTCTCTCCGCCGCGTCACCGAATGATGAGATACCGCGCCGGGAGAAGGAAAGCGCCGAACGCGGAAAACGAAGGGCCGGGAACGCCATTATCCCGCTGCAATTGCAATATTTATTAGCGAAATGGGGGACGGGCACTTGGGGCGCTAGTTGGAACTCCACGGGGACTTTCGGAAAGACAAATAGTTACCTCGAGCAGTTAATAACTGAGCGGGCCG